AGTGCTAATGTCGTGGTGTATTGGTATTGTAGCGTGGTGTGGTGAATATCATGTACATGATTATTTAGACTGATGCAATCTTTAAAACTATCAAGGCATCCTCTAAATGTACATTTGTATCTGTTGCCTGGTGTCTTAACAACAATATCAACTGCTTTACTTCTTCTAGGAGGCATTTCTTCAGTGATAAAAGTGATAAAAAAAAAACCTAGACAAAAATCTCAAATTGCATTTCCCGTTATACGTATTATTAATATTTTCTGATGTTCGAGTATAATTTGTGAAACATACACTATTGGAGTTTATGTATTTGCTAAGGAGATTGAAAAGACATCATGGGTGATAAATTCCAAAGGTGAATACGTTTATAAGGATACAAAATGTAATCCGTACGTTGCAACCCGCAAAGGGAAGATAAATTTTGCTATGAAGCAAAACATATACATATGTAGAAAGAGAATGGGCATGAGTAGATTTACTTATGACATCATAACGATTTTGATCTAGATAGGCTGTATTGCTTCATGGAGAGGTGCCATTTCTGGAAACTTGCCTTGTGCTGGGAAAAGATAGCGTAAAAAAATTTTTAGCTGAAGTTGTTTCTGTATTTGTTAAGGAAACTAAACCTGTGTTATCACATTTTAAAATTTGATGTTAATTTTTATGGTATTATTAGAAAATACACATGATGATATAGATACAGAAAGTATGAATTTTACATTTGCGAATATAATTAAAAGTTATATATTTTGTTTTTTTGTAGAGATAGTTTCTTCATCTATATCAAATAATAAAAGTAAAAAAAGAAATTGAATTTATTTGATTATTTTAGAGTACCACGTACTGATCCTGAATCATTAGAGGAAAGAATTACTAAACTTATTAAAAAATCTTAATATATATTTATTCAATAAAAGTATTATTTTATTAATTTTTAGATTTGTTTAATCTATTTTATATGTTTTTTTAGTTTCAAGTAATCTGAACTATTTTTTCCGATGAATTGATTTATTGTATTGTCGTCAGAAATTATTTATCAAATTTTTTATAGAGTGATATAATCTGTCACAAAAAAATATTTTATCGTTTTTTGTCATATTTAGCACTTTTTAAATTAATGGGTATCCGTAAGCTATACTAAATTTAGTATATTGTACTAAATTTAGTATAGTATTAAAATGAAGATAAAA